ACAATTATTACAAATGTCAATATAACGAAATATCTTTTATGCGATGTTTGTGGTGTAATAAAAATCTGTGTTTCGATTACGTTTTTGATACGTATTACTCACTTATATGTAATAATATAGAATAAAAATATACTATTAGTCCGATATTTGAAAATATGCATGCGTTCGTTGTCACTGTTAAACTGTTGTAATAACAATGGAATAATAAAATAATTTACTCAAATGTACATAATAATACATATACATATCCATAAAAACAATATTAAACGCAATAACTTTTTTGTACGCGAAGAAAAACTAATATAGGTCCGTCGGGATACGATTCCAAGACTCCTTTCTAACACGTCTACTTTATAGCGAACGGACGGAAGAGAATCCGTTCACGACCATGGTCCCTTCTTAGATTTAACGTAATTCACAAATTCACCGTTCTCATAACGTAGAAGGCAGCAGAAATTCCCGACTTTTTACACTATCGGTATTTCAGAACATGAGACACGAAATCCCATAAGACGATAAGTCTATCCTATACCTAGTCGGTGCTATTACATGTGTCATTCGATTCAAACTTCGCGCCTCTGGAGCTTATGACATACATCGCTACGTTACATGAGCGAGGATTGCAACAATACAGAACAGGTAGCGCCGCAATAGATGCGACTCTATAGGAACATTTCAAATAGACACTACTGGAAGTACTGGAACACGCTGGGCAACGCTGGGCAGTCTGGGCACTACTTGGTACTCAGTACTCAGCACCACTTACCACTACCCTACTGTTTGTTACTGAGGACGACTGATAAGTCTATCCTATACCTAGTCGGTGATATAACACTTCATTTGTGCTAATAATACTCAGAATTCATGCTTTATCGGTAACGTTGAGTATTGACATTAAAATGGTAAGGGGGCTTCTGACGCCCTCCAAGCATGGGACAGAAAATTACATTGCATGTTAGGTCTATTCATATATCTCGTCTGTGCTATTATCAACTGAATAAAACATTATATTAGCGGCATTGTATTCAAGTTAAAGCGCGCGTTCATATGATGCGAAAATCGGCGAGTTCCTGTCTCTATTTATGTTATTATCTTTTTTTGTTACATGAAATCCGTTTCTTAGTGTTCTCGTGAAACTGTATTAAAATTTGTAACTATTTAGACATACTTTTAAAATTATATTTACTTTAATCCTGGGAAAAGTGTCTGATAATATTTATAATAGATGTATGGTCAAAAAAGTATACAGCTTCGAAATTATTATCAGAAAATTACGTCTTATTCTATACTTGAAAATCTTTATTTTTGTTGAAAATGTAGGTCTATGGAATATATCAATTTGAAAATCTCTCTTTGGAAGATCGATACAGATATATTAAAAGGTCTACCATGAATGAAGAATAAATGACAGCATACATTATGTACCACATTCCCCAATCAAGAAAAAACATTTATTTCAATATTCATTGTATCATTGTTATAAGATGATGTTATTTGTAACTGTATAATAAGGTACAAACAAGTTATTCACTCTTAGACTATTTACGCGTATGTACTGCGGAAATGAAGTCATTACGTATACATATATGTATTTAGATAGTTGGAAGTTGAAATCAGTTGAAATATTTAAAGGAAAATATTATATGTAACGTCTAATGTTATACCTATTCGTAGAAAAAAAATTTCAAGCATTGCATTTGATCTTTTACTGTGCTTTGTCTGCAAGTAATTTCGATTTATTATAATTACGTTCTTGTCTGATTCGGAAAGTTCTTATTGTTCAACAAATCACTTTATCAGTACATATTTATCGGTATGACTAAGACTCAGCGTTGCATTAAATAATTACAACATGTGTCAAGATCGTCAAGACCCTTGCACCGTTCTTTGCATCAAAGGAGCAATGAAGCGATGAATGTGTCTAAATGTGCTCGTGACATTGTGATCAATGATTTTGTCTGGATTGAGTTGTTTACAAATACTGCCAATGCATGTTTTCGTTTGACAATAAGGCTATGATATTCATCATAAACATACATTATGTACACTAAACGCACTAAAAATTGTGATATCTAGATTTGATAATTCGCATATTAAATTTCTAAAGTGAGTATTTTATACATACTTATGTAGATATTGTCTAATAGTTAGGTTAAACGTGTTTTAAAATGTAAAAGACACGATGCTGCATGCATTAGAAAAAAAATTCAATAATAAAACAGTTTATAAAGATGTAATCTTTGCTGTTATTGTTTTCCTGATATTATTAATCTTTCATTACAACTGTAATTGTTATTATTATTAATAGTTAAGTATATAATTTGTGCTTTGAACTTTTACTTATTTTTAAAAAGTGGTTTTGTATTTGTATTGTATTCTGTCATTCCATTAATTTATTTCATTGTGCTTTTTAATCTGTGGTATTATAAAGTTTACATTTAATATAATTTTCGCTTAAGTACATTTGAATCTTTTATTTAGGATTTGTAAAATTTTGTAATTAAACAAATAATGCCTGCTAAAAATATAGCTGATTGGACACTAAGCGATGTGTCAAAGTGGCTTAGTGAAGTTGGACATGAAAAATTTGTCAATTTGTTCCTGGAACATGAAATTGATGGGAAGGTACTTTTAACATTGAAGGAAGATGATTTAAAGTCAAAAGGCTTGAATATAAAGAAGCTCGGAGATGTAAAACGATTATATATTAGTATAAAACAATTACAAAGGGACAACATGACAGTATTATTTGATTTAGGATATATCGACTTATTTCCTTCATCAAACTTTTATAATCATCATAAACATGATGTAAGAGAATCATATTATTTATACTTTACACGTACAATTATGAATTGACTGTAGCATCATAAGTAACTTGTTTAAAAATAATATTATTTATGTCTTTATATATTAATGTTAAAATTATATATTTCTTACAGCTGCCTAGTACTGGATTAAATACTGAAGGTTCTATAGAACATGAATTTTATTCAGCATCTGTATCAGAAGATGGTCATGCATCACATTTACCACCTGAAATTTGGAAAGCTTTCATTAGTTTGGCTTATTTATTTATTGTTACATGGATTACTGCATTTGTGATGGTCATTGTTCATGATAGAGTGCCTGACATGAAAAAGTATCCTCCATTACCTGATATATTTTTAGATAATGTGCCACATATTCCTTGGGCATTTGATATGTGCGAAGTAACAGGAACTATACTTTTTGCAATATGGCTTATTGTATTAATTTTTCACAAATACAGGTGAGGTATACCCAGATACTCTTGTATGCTATTACTGTGCCTGAATTCTTTCAGGTACGAAATTGAACAAAAAGGAAATGTTTAATCAATCTATGCATTTACATGTTTCACAGATTTATCTTATTACGAAGATTCTTTGCTTTATCTGGTACAGTCTTCCTGTTAAGGTGTGTTACAATGCTTATTACTTCCTTGTCTGTACCAGGTGCACACTTACAGTGTGAGCCACGAACAATTGTTGACGATTGGTCAAGGTATATGTACTGTTTTCTTCTTTAAAGCAGGAGTTAATAAACAGAAACAACTCATTACCTTTGTTTAATAGTTCTGCATATGTCGATCTATACAATAAAATTGCTATGGCTTATGTTATATGGCGTGGAGCTGGCATGTCTATTCAAGGTGTTAGAACTTGTGGTGATTATATGTTTAGTGGCCATACTGTTGCTCTTACTATGTTAAATTTTTTCATTACAGAATGTAAGTATTATAGGTCTGAAAATTCTATAAAAGTAAAGGAGATAATTCTACACGAATATTTTATTTGCAGATACACCAACGCCATTATACTTTTTACATACCTTTACATGGATGATCAATATGTTTGGTATATTTTTTATCTTAGCAGCACATGAACATTATTCCATTGATGTTTTTGTAGCCTTTTATATTACTTCTCGATTGTTTCTTTATTATCACACATTAGCGAATAACCAAGCGTTAATGCAACGTGATTCAAATAGAACCAGAATATGGTTTCCGCTGTTCAGTTTTTTTGAATCTTCTGTGGACGGTATTGTCCCAAATGAATATGAATCACCGTCCCTGATCATCTGTAATCTAGTATGTACAGGTAAAGATATTTGGCATTTGGTACGATCTTCAGTCTGCTTCCGTAAATCATCACGTAATGTAAATGTCAGTGTTAAAAATAACACAAAGAAAGATCGTTAACCGAATTACCGGTTATATCAATTTTATATTTATTTGATAATAGATTTGAAAACATTAACTTTATTTGACAACTCTACACGTTTAATAAAACAGAAAAAGAATGAAAATCAACCATCTCTAAAAATATTTATTTTTCTAAGTTATATAATAGTTAATAGAGTGACCTGGTTGTTACTAAAATGACTATCTGTGGTTCATGTAGATTTTTCTACTACTTATCAAGTGGTCATCCATGATGTAAAAGTTCATTTGGACTATATTGTGGTGTTCCAAAATAAGCTTTAGTAGATAAAACATTATGTTACTTCAGAGTCTATCACCTTCAGTTTCATTTTTGCTTCAGTCTATCTTGTTTGGATAATACTTTAGGGTAGCTACTTTTTTTGTTAGTGCTGAGAAAATATTGTTTCTTTATGGATAAATATAGTTTTATAAAAATTGACTGTATAATTTTTATAACACATAAGTTTTTTTAAGATTCAAACACTTAACACTGAGTAAATGTGATGATTTTACATAGAGATAGTAACTTTTGTATCAATTATAGTGTTCTAGTATTATATTTTTGTTAGTCAATGAAATACAAGTGTAAAATATATTTGTAGCGTTATGGTATGAGTTCAAGTTATAAATTAATAAATCTCATAATCCGAAAAGTAATGTAAAAAATAGAGAAATAGAACAGTGTGATGTCACATAAAGATATAAATAGCTTTTTCGTTTTTAATTTATATATACGTTTTTTATGTAAAAGAAATACAAGGTAAATAACTTAATGTTTGAGTCTTATTTGGCAGACATTATTCGCGTTTGATCGTTCTAGCTTGTTTTTACTTTTCATGAAAAATCATTTTGATATAGTAGTGGATGATTATGTGCAACCAAATATTAGTGATTACAGGACGGCCATGATCAGATAAACGTTGAATACTTGTAAACAGATAGGATGTACATATACATACATATATGTATATATGCAAATGTAAAGTTGGTACATGTATATACGACTCAAGTACATTAATGTCTCCTATCTTTTATGCAAATTAAACAATGTAGAAAGTAAACATTTCCGCATTCTGTGAGAATTAATAGTCGATAAGAGGCTAATCGTAATTCATGATATCTATATTTGTTACAAATAGAGATTTTATTAGAGTTTACTATCATTTTAAAAGGAGGCTCTTAATACGGCACTGTTAATAGTGTAATTAATAGAGGAATAGGGAAGAAACGATGTAACGATTTGTGAATCAGTTTATGTGTTAATATCTATGCAATCGTTTTATACTAGATCGGTGAGATTGTATACCGGTATTTGTTTTATTTCACATACTTTCGTATTCTTTTATGAATAGACGCACATCAGACAGATTTAACACATTGACTACGTAATTCATTACGTATATCCATTATATCAGACGTTTTTAAAGGCATCCGATGCGTTGTCTTTAAAATTAGTGTCGAAGGGTGCTGAGTTTTATGACAGTTAGCAAACATCGGGATACATAACATTTCTCTACGTTGTACTTCCGTAACGATATTTATGTTAACGCAGGCGATGTCAACGTATGTAAAAATGCACAAATTTCGTTTTTCTTTCATAAATTATTTTTTGGATATATGAACGTACGCTAATGGACAATAAATTGTTTTCTAATATTTAGTTGAGATACGTTTGTACCTCTTTCAGTACAATCTCACGTAGCTTTATTTGTCGAAAATAGAAACGTCTACGCGGCCATACAGTACCTATAATTAAATCGCCGGCGTGCAGACCGCTCTGCGGTCTCAGAGTTATGTCAGCAGCAGAAGTTCCACGCTTCTCTGCATATTAATTTTTTCCTCGCATTTGCGAAATGAAAAGTCAATAAAATACTTCGCGTAAATGAAAAGTGTACTGTTACTACGTTTTTTCTTTGTACAATTGATCTCGTACTGACTTCCATATTGGGTATGTACAACCTGCGTTTAATTATTTATTCTGAAATGGCAAAGTCGTTAATTGTATTTTTTTTTATACATTTACGACTTTGGTAGCTGATTAATTGAATTTTCATTGTTTCATTCACTATTTAATGTCCAATGGTTTCAAAGAGTTTCCATACATTATAACTGAATTCTTTGTCAAATTATATGATTGAAAAAAGGTTAACGAGCGCGTAATTTTTATAATGTTCCATAAAGTAAGATTGTTCATTTTTAATTAATAACATCGAAAATTCACAAAAATTTCAATAGAAATAGTACCTCGATGACATTGAAAAGTGAAATGATTTATAAACGTACATGAGACCTCTTTTATTTTTTATCATCGCATAAAAAGCGATAGCGGCGGCTTTGTTATTATATCGTAAGTTGAGTATCAAAGAAAAATGTTCGTATTTCATAGAAAAGTTTGTAATATGAACGATCGTAATTTTCATCGACTTTATGTTCAGTAATTATTTAAGTAAAACGATATATAATGTTTAAAATGTTAAAGTTGACAAGGATATAATTGTTTATTAATAAAACTACACAATCGTATTGTGTAATAGTAATAAGATCATCCATTTTACATATGAACATTTAACACGTGACAAATACTATGTACAAATCATCTTGAAATACAATTTTGTAAAGAAAATGAATAGAATAATTTGACATGAAAATGTCAAAATTAATAAAATTACCAGAAAACCTGAAAATACGTTATGTTTGTTTATACGTAAGAAAAATAAAAAGTGAAAGAAGTCAACAAATATTTATCACTTGTCTTCCTTACTGAATGCAGTAAATAAAAAATAAAACAAACTTTTTTTGCTTTTTTTAGTAGAATGTGTTGCCGAAAGATATTCGAAAAATTTTAAATATCGATGTAGTTATAAGAGAGGTGTGGAAGTGAAGCATGCGGGAAAAAATGACTCTTTAAACGCAGTTTCCTCGAGACTACCTATGTTTTTCAACCTGTTCGACATGATTTTTCAAAAATCAATGCACTGATTGTTTCTAAACTTGACATACATCTTGTATATACATGCGTTTCTTCATCATCTCTGCTAAAATTACGAAAATGTAATCAATGTTTCTATTTTTTCTGTAACAAATTAACGTAACAGAATTGAGTTAAATGTGGCATTCTCGTCTTCCACCGACTGCTATTTTGTTCACCCTCGCTTTTGATGAGTGGTTATGACAGGAATGGCAGAGATAAGTGTACTGATCAAAATAACGTTTGATATTTTTACTTCGGATTGTTAGACCCCGTCAGCCAAACCTGCAAAGACAAATTTTGTCCAATGCCTGTTATACATATAGTTATGGCTATAACAATGAAATATTGGAAAGACTAAATGAAGATCAATTGGCGACAGTTTCATTTTACAACAAAACAATGATACTCAAAACACAAATCATGAATAGGAACATTTAATGGGGAAATATTATAGTAATATAAATTTATTTTATATTCTTTTGTATATTTATATTTTATACATTAATAGAGAAGTGTTAAAAATAAAAATTAATTCAATTATACAAACATGAAAAGAACTAGTCAAAAATGTAGAATAAAATTTGTTCAGTTGACACTTCGTTTTCGAGAAAATCGATTTTGAAAATCTACTGGATACTCATGCAACCGAATAGGACTGGCTCCCGCGTCTGTTCATTGCATTCTGTTTCTACTTCTTACCATGACGAATACACGTGTTTCAGATTAATCTTCAAAGTCGATTTTCCCGAAAACAATGTGTCAAATGAACAAATTTCATTCTATGTATATTTTTGACTTATTTTTTCACGTAGAATCATCCCGGTTGTACCACCAGTTACTCGACACCCTGTATACTATATGTATAAAATTTTCATGTTCATTTACAAGAATGTATAAACAAAATAACAATTTGAAGATTTGCATTTGTATAAAAATTGATTTCATCGAATTGAAAACATCGAAGGAATATTAAACGAGTAACCAATCGATGACCAATAACGGTCATGTGAGGGGTTAACGCGACAATTATCCTAACTTGTCGCATGATTGCTGTAGAATTCACGATCAATTTTAATTGCGTCCCAAATGTATAACATCGTTGAAATACTTCACCGTATCTGACAAGAGAAAAAGATAAACGCAGAAATATACCGCTCGACCCAATAATTACTCAATTTTTCTAAATGTCATGTTATGAGGTTCTTACGTAATATGAATCCAACTATTTACTCGTATAAACTTGATACTGTTATTCTATTAGACGTTAATGAAATAAAGAATCTAGGTGTCCACATCACATCCACGTTAGATTTTTCCAAATACTACTCTGTTATCACAAGTAGGTACAGCATTGAAAACTCTTGAGTTTATAAAACGAATTTCTGTGGACTTTGTTAATATAGAAACTATAAAATTAGTTAGAAAGAGTTCAGCACAGATTCTTGAGATTTGTAGAACATAAGTTACACACTCATAGACCATTTTGGGATTATGATTGTACATCTACTCTTATAAAACTGAACATAAGAACTTTGGCTGCGCGTAGAATTGTAACTGATGTCTTTTCCTTTTAAAATCATTAATGCCGAAATTAATTGCCCAGCAGTGCTGGAATTTATAGACTTATACGCATCAGCCCGATGCGTCGGAAAGTGAATCTCTTGGCCCAATTAATCGAGTAATAAAATGCACTAGTCTATATGTTGATAACATAGATTTTTTCTCAGGTAGTGTATCATCATTTACAGCCCCTGGCCATTAAACTAGGACCACTCATGATTTTCAGCATCTTTCATGTTTTCAGTTAAATTCTAAGGCCTGAACGACATTTAATTACAAATTGTATTAACTATTCAAATATTGAATAATAGCTTATTATTTGTTACTGTTGAGTATTTATTCTGAGAGCCATACAGTGCGTGACGAGCGGTTGAGGACCAAATGGATGTTTATTCTGGAGTATCACTAACAAGTGTAATGTAACCATATTCATTTTCAATTTGGTATTATTATATTTTCTGTATTAGGGTACGTTAGCCTAGACTTGAAACCAATCTTTGTGGTCTGTTACACTTCATATGCCCAGCCTTTCGAACTGTAATCATAAACGGTTTTCAATCGCCCACTGAGAAAACTTTCTTTTCCTGTAGTATATGTGTTACAAAAACAAACATATAAAAAATTAAATAAGTATTTGTGTACTTTAGTAGTAAACAGAGTTTATCATTATGTTACTTTCAGACCCTTTAATTTTGCTAAAAATATGTTCCATGCTGAAAATCGCGAGTGGTCCTAATTCAACGACCAGGGGTTGTAAATGTAAACTATTTCAATTAATTCAATAATGTTGTTACGAGCCAGGGCTAAGTGGCTGCGAGAGCCGAGGAAATGGCGAGTTTGGTTTTTTAGAGTTTGTTACGTGGACGAACCTGTGCCTATTTCATCACAGGGAGCCACTAGGAAAGATTTTCGTGGACGAACCCGAGCCTATGTCATCTCAGGAAGCCACTAGGATTGTTAATATGGGCCTCGTAACTTTTAAGAATTCGGTACACATCGAGCGGTAAAAGTGTGCCTTTGTGGGTCGCTTCTAGCTGGGAATTTAGATGTTATTCTAGAGTTGAAATGAACAACACTGAATTATAAATATATGAACGTATAAGAGTATATTCAATAAAGTAAAGGTTTTACAAATGGTACTGTAAAGTGTAGTCGCGGAAGCTAATTCCAACGATCTCGGTTTTCACGCACTGAGAAATGCGGGGAGTTATTATGCAGAGTTTAGCTTACTTTTAGAAATGCTTGACAAGGACTTTAATACCCGATCTCACTAGCTAGTACGCGTCCCTTTTTATATCCCGAAAATCGAGTCTAAAAGTAGTGGGGGACACGCCTGTTCTCAACGGAAACTGTTTTCCAAGAAAATCTGGCCACGCCGTAACACCCCGTGGGCAATTACGTAATCCGGTCGGATGCAATCCAACTCTCGATAGGGTTAAGAGGTCACGAGAGTGTCTTCGTATGTAACAATGTACATATTAGCGTATTATGGAAACTTTATCATGTTATAAGTATTCTAATTATTCACTGTATTCGGGCATGTCCATCAATTATAAATAAATAATTAATAATAAATAATAATAAAGAATTATATGTTACACATCGGTAGATACAGTTCGGAGGGCATGGCGCCAGAAACAAAAGCCGGCTGTCCGATTTGCGGGGACCGGTTAAACGCGATACTCAGATGCAGCGGCTGCGGCCAGCAAGTTTATTGCGGCAAGGATCATCAACGACAGGACTGGCCGCGGCACAGGTCCGTTTGCCAGGCGTGGGAGATCCACGAGAGCCCTGAACTCGGACGACACTTATTGGCGTCGAGGGACATCGGTCAGGGCGATCTGATAATCACGGAGTCACCATTGGTCTGGGGGCCGGCTTTGCACACGGATCAAAGAGTTTGCGTGGGTTGCGGCAAAGAATGCGAGTCAACCGACATCAGATGCAAGATCTGTTTATGGCCGGCGTGCGACAGGGACTGTTCCGGACTTGTCGACAAGAATAGGCACGGTCTGGAGTGTCTGATTCTCGTGAAAGCGCGGATTATTCCCAGGTTTGTATATGATCGATCGGCGAATACAATACGTGAAAATGCAAGCTTCCAGAATAATTCTGTTTCCGTTAAGGGGTCATGCTCAGTCAGAAATTTTCAAAAAATTGATTTTTCACTTTTTACACATTTTCTTTAAGCACAACATCTCGGGAATAGTCTGTGCAAGTTTCAAGGTAATCCAATTAAAACTGACAGAGTTACAGGCGTTAAAAAATGAACATTTTATATAAGTGTAAGCTTCATTTGAAATTTTAAACGCGTTTTTCTCGAAATTACATTTTTCAAATCGGTGATCAATATTTCTCGAAAACTACTGTGCCGATTTACATGAAACCTTTTACGCCTTATTTCAAATCAGAACAAATTGTCCTTGAACGAAGGATTTTTTTTTCGTTCCATACTTTTTTTTAATTGACCAAAAACGAGTGATTTTTAGGTAAAAATTGCACTTTTTCAGGAAAATGTCCGCCATTTTGTTCCTAATCAATATTTCGAAAAACCCCACGTTCAAGGACAAGATTGGTTCTTCCATTACATAAATCTTACTGTATTTTTAATTTCAAATGAACCGTTACGAAGTTACAGTGATCACGGCCGACCACTTTTTTTGAAGATACATCCGGGAGATCGCTCACCATTTATTTACTAATAAATATTTTTAAATAAAAAAATTACCTTATAATCTAGAAACTGCAATATTTGAAACACAAACACATTTTTTGAAGAAAGTCGTATACTTTTTGAGAAAAAAATTCTCAAAGAACACCCTTTTTTCAGTCTCCTGACTGAGCATGACCCCTTAACGTGGCATTAACGTATACATATACTGCAGGCTATAAGTATTAGGAGAAAAAAGTGGCTTTTGTCTCACCCTATAAGAAAAAAATTGGATTTCCCCCCCCCCCTCCCGACCTATTTATGTGTAATACTTAATATTGCAGTATTATGTGATATTTGTTAGAGATTGAACATTTTTCACTGCCTTTATTTTCTGGTTTTGGTAAAACTTACACTTAGGGGACAATGACCTTGACCTTGACATATGTTTTCAAGGATACTCTCCTGAGTACGTTTCTGAAGGTTGTAGCCGTCGCTCGTTTTTTGTTAAATGAGCTTTAACGGAGACTTGCAAAAAAAGGAGGAAATTTTACGTACATTATTGTGAATAACAAAAGAATTTATGCTTCAAAATTGTCAATAGTAGGTCCTACGGTAGCTGTTTCAATTACAAAAAGAATGCCACAAGAATTTTTAAAATCAGTTAATAACTGTTTACGTTAGGATGGACACAGCCATACAGTGCAACTTCGCATCCACACGATTAGTACCACCTACAATGCAGGAATATTGAAACGAAAATATTTTTTATTTACCATATCTTCTTTACTTTCTTTAAAAAAAGAATTCCTAAGTGTCACCTTTTTTGCGGCTGCTACAGGAGAAAAGGTCCTTAAGGGTTTTTCTTCAATAAATTTGCAACGTTTTTTCGCAATTATTCCACAGAGAGTATGTGTCCTAATAATTATGACTGGCAGTTTAGTCCTTGTAGAAATAACGCGGTCGTGTAATCGATCAAACGAAACAGAACACAGTAACGTGGAATGTCAATTTAGATGAAAAATACTTCTGACCTTTTTATCGTTGACAATAACCTACGAAACGTTAAAGTTCTTTCAAATTTTCCAAATATTCCGAATATTAAACAGAATTTACAGTTACCCTCCTAGTAAATAAACTACAGCTAGTCGACAGCCTCTTCCGTTTTACTGCACGAAACCTTACAGTTGCAAGTCGTAGGTTAATGTGACATATTTACATAGCCCTGTCATAAGTTCTGTGACAAATATATTGGGTGATTGTAATAGAAATGGGAAGTTCTATTAATCTCTAACTAATTAGCATTTATTGATACGTGTAATGACGAAAAAAAGTTCAAGAGTTCTACTCGAGACGACCATCTTTTGCTTTGATACAAGCTTGCAAACGAAGCGGCCAATTAGCTGTCACTTCACGCACGGTTATTAACTGTTTCTAAAGTTATTTGGCTCGATTCCAAATTTTCGCCATAGACGACCACTTTGTGCTGTCTCTTCTATTCCTAAGAGTTCATTGTTATGTTTTATAGTACGATAGACGAACGTCTGTGATATTATTAACCGGTTCAATAGGTTGAAAGTCTGACTAATACTGTTTTCACATTTATGCAGATCGACTACACTGACACACGATTTTACTTTCACACCCCAATCCATGTTGATTGTACGAAAGATAAAGTCAAACTGACTTCTATTGTTCGCAAAAACGGTGCAAGTGTTTCGAAACGATTGCTGTTTGGCAAGCTGGTACCTTTTGTCTCTATCAGAGACCTTCTAATACAAGTAGAATTCCATTTATATGAACCTGGCGGGGAACAAGTCTTGGTTCATATAACCAGGTCGTAGATATAGGGAGAGGCAATAACTATTACCACTTCAGATATCCTCGAAACTATAAGATTCACAGAAATATTTGTTTAACCAAAATTGCACACTATAAAGAGAGCCATCCGATGGCGCTAATAGTTTTTGCAGTTGGAGGTACTTTGGATATTTCAAGGTCACCTCCATTTTTTTAAATGGATACGTATATTTTTGTTTGCGTAGAATGATAGAAGAGTTTAAAACGAGTTCAACAATCTAGTGCAATAAGGTCATTGAAGGTCATAGGAAGTAGAGAAAAGCGATAATGCTTACGGTTTACTTCATTGAAAATAAACACTGTATGAAGGGCACTTTAATAAGTTTGCAGAATAAGATAAACATGATAAGAGTAATATTGTATCGGTCAACCGGGCACGATGTATCTGTTTGATGAACAAGTCGATATACTTCTTATTTATGGCAAATGCCAATAAAATTCTGTAACGGAAAAAAATTTGTATGCTGAACGATATCCACATCGGTCTCAGCCTTCGCGTCGAACATTTAAAAATGTGCGTGCTTTTGCCTGGCTCTCTTCGTACTGTGCAATTTTGGTTAAACAAATATTTTTGTGAACGTTACATGTAGTTTCGAAGATATCTGAGGCTGTAATAGTTATTGCCCCAGTCGTAACAGAATTCATGTCAGGATTAGCTAAATAGTTACGTCCACCCGTTGTCCAGCCTGATCTTCAAAGACATGTTTGAGCTACGTGTTGCGCAAAAAATGAAAATATGACAATAATCACGCATATTCACCATTCTAGTGAAGAGTCCTTACATTTTAAAATCGATCACAACGTTGAAATAATCCTCGTACTCGTCTGATTTGTCTCCTTTTGACTGTTTTTTTTTTTTGTTTCCACGAGTAAAAGCAATCACGAAAGGAATGTTCAGTTCATTTGTGAAATTCGAAGTAATACAACGCGAGTATTGAAACAGATACCGGAAAGCTAATACCGGAAATGTGACGATCAATGGTTCTGACACTGGCATGGCGTGTGTGCAGCCCAAGGGGACTATGGTGGCGATCAACGCACATATCTTTAATTGTCAAAATAAAATTGTTAATAAATCGTTCGTGAAACCTTATTGTCGCACATGAGCGTAGCCAGGTTATCAGTCAGAGGGGGGGGGGCGAAAATATTAACACATCGATTGCCACAGTGAACAAAGCTGTACGTAGCCAGACACGTTTTATTTTGTTTTTGAAGTCATAAATCGTTGAAAATGTATGCGTTTTGTTAATAGAGGCTGTTGGTCGTGTTTTAAATTGTACTGCAATATTTAATATTACGCAAAAATTTTAGAACTCTAGGAAGGGAGGGGGTAGGGGCGGGCAAAATCCAATTTTTTTTAATGTAGGGTGGGGCAAAAGCCATTTTTTTCCATTCAGGGGGGGGGGCGAGACTGATATATTTTAGGATTATTAATTTCACTGGGTCATCGATCGAGCTCGTGTATCATCTGGGAAGCAGTTGTTGAGTAGTACAATCTATGGCGTCAGGCGTGCAGTAACGGAAAAAAGAAGTTGCTACTTTTTCAATTTGTTTTATCTTTATTATTTTTTAACGTCAGCTCAAGACTTTAGTATGTATTTAATATACATGTACTCCGATAGAGAATTAAAAGCTGTATAAAATCCAGTATACACTGCGTGGCATAACTATAAAACCACCCTTAAAATTTTTCGTCCTTATGTCTTGTGGTTAAAATAAAAACGAACAATTTTTTTCCTAGGGAATATAATCTATCCTTTTCTGGAGAAACATTTCTCACCACGATTTCAGACATGGCATACTTGGTTCGTTTTTATTTTAACCACAATACATAAGAATTGAAAACTTTAGGTTGGTTTTATAGTTACGCCGCCCAGTGTATTAAGGTTTCAAATTGATGTTAAGAAATAATCGACATAAAAAAATTCAGAATAATGTTAACTTTTTTATCCGCTACGGTATTTCACGCGTATTTTGCCCATTATTTATCCGCGAATAACGAACAACCCCTCGTTAGTTGTTATTCACGAATCACGAATAAATCAATTTTATTCGGCATCTTCTTTATTCGTTAATCTCAACTACTTTTGTCCAATATTGAAATCACATATCGAATTAGCGAGTAACGATTGAAATTTTTATTCGTTGCCCGATAAATAAATTTGGTAAAATTCACGTTTAGGGGATGCAGTTCCGATGACCTTGACCTTGCTTTTATATTGTTAAACCTTCGACTGCGGCGCGATATGCACATGTCAGTCGCTAACAAAAAATATGCAAATAAAAAGCAATCTAAATTCTATGTTAGATCAGTTTAATAAAACAGTAAATGTTTATTTACCTTTAGCATATATATTTATAGACATGTGAGGGCGTATACATATATACGTCTTTCGTAGTCAAAGGGTTAACCACAATCTTCTGAGTAATCTCCAAGAAGTTTTAGCCGTCTCTCATTTTTTTTATTAAATAGTTATTAGCAAAAAATGTTTAGTATCGTACTTTAATAGTATTGATAAGTAAAATGTCCGATGACCTTGACATATGTTGTTCAGTTATCAAGTATTCATTGAAAAGTTATTAAGAGAACAATGATAACTTTTTTTTGAACTGTCTCTAACGAACTCGAATGACTTTGTGTTTTCTTGAACCGTCTCCAAGCAACTCTGAAGCATTATACTAATCGGAGTTGGTTAGAGAAACTGGTATATGTTGTAAACATTTTTTCCTAATAATTTTTTAATAAAAAAAACCAGCGAGGGCTAAAACTTCCTTCTTAGGGGTTACTCGGAAGAGTATCCTTAAGAATATAGGTCAAGGTCAAGATCATCGAAGCTGCATCTCTGAACGTAACTTTTACCCAGAATTTATTTAAATTTATTCGAATAATCTCAAATTTCTGTTGTAAATACAGAAAATCCGTAATCTATTAATAATCGTCATTTATTACAGATGTGATGTTCTTCTGGTGGTCCGTATGTTAATATTATGGTGGAAAAAGTCGAAACATTGGACGGCCTTGGAAAAGTTACAGAGCCACGAGGAATCCCGCGGCCAAGGAACGACCGCGTACGAAGAAGCGAGGAGCGTGAGCCAGCACTTGAAACGTCTAATATCGGACGAACCCGCTGGCAAGGATGTCGTAGGAAGAATTTGCGGCCTGATAGATGTAAACGCCCTGGAAACAATGCCACCGGAGGGCTCGGTAGCGATTTATGAAACCGCGTGTCTGCTCGAGCACTCCTGTCTGGCCAACACAAGGCACACTTTCAAAATTGATGAGAAGGGGAGGCCTCGTATCACAGTGAAAGCCCTTTGCTTTATAAAAAGGTACGTTTCAATTCCGTATGAACGGTTCGTTACTGGTCGGTTGTAACTAGACTGCGAAATGTTTACGCATTTATAAGAATTTTTGACATTCAAAATGTGGTAAAATACCTGATTCAATGATATGTAGGGTGAACGCACTAATGAATGAACACTTAAAAGATTTTGTAACTATTAAAGTCGAATTTTAAATGATGATAATATCCTTAAATATATATACAGGGTGTAACAAAAATGTTGTCCGACCCGGAAATAGGGCACTCGGGGGGTGAATTGGAACAAGTTTTTCCTTAGCAACAATCTAATCTGAGACTTCGTTACCGAGATATTAACGAAAAACCTCGACCAATCAGAGCGCGAGTTTTCCAGCCGAGTTCCTGCGGAAGCGTTGGCTACAAATCGCAGCGCGTATTATTCTACAAATCGCAGCGCGTATAATTTCTATCTACTTTTTATATTTGTAAATTAATGTCTAAAATTGTGAATTTGCACAAATGTCCGCGGTTTAGTTATAATATAATAAGTTGCGTTCTTTAATCGTCGTGCAACTATCCAACGAACTATTGCATGATTATTCCTTAAATTGAATTCAGTCTAAATGAAAATCAAATTGAAGAAATATGTATATTTACCTATCGCCAAATTGTAATTATATACGAACTATTGATGTTTTTGTAATGATATATACATATAATTAAGAATCAAATATTGGCTTCGGGTCGAATAGATCGTAAACAGTGCTTGCGGGTTAAACGTAAATAACAAACTGTGATAGGTTATATTACTCGAACAGTCACTTCCCAGCTGATACACAGTCTCCATCGAGAATCTAGTTAAATTTAATGAATTAAATAAAATGAAATGATTGAAACCAACTCGTGAAACGGTTGAATAACACGCCTATCAAGTAGAATAACCCGTTGTGTAAGACGTATTTCACACGTATTTCGCCCGTATTTTTAACAATTGAGGGGCTCAGTAGAAAAGGGGCACATGCCACAATATTATAAGAAAATTTACACAACTGCTTTTAGAAAAAATAACTATAATTCAGGAAATTCGGTCATTTTTACTCGTAGTTATTTTAGTTGGTAATTGAAGTACACGTATGGTAACTGGCAATTACTATGAAATCTTGACTTGAACATTCATTTCATATGATACGTTCTCAACAATCTAAAGAAAAGATTACTATTCGGAATATTCGGGCAAAAAATGTTGTTATAGGGACGTATGATTGTACCTCTTCTATTCAATCCGCTTTGGAATGTGAAGGAGTAATATTTGTAGATTGTTAAAGAACGTATCATATAATATGAATTTTTTAGTCAAGATTTGACAGTAATTGCCATATACCATCCACTTCAACTACCAACGAAAATAGCTAGTAGTTAATATTGAATTTCCTGAGAAAATTATTTTTCCTAAAAGTAATTGTCGTGTGAATTGATAGTATTGTGGCATGTACCCCGTTTCCATTAAGCCTCTCAATTAATAACTCGGAAACGAAGCGTCGAATTTAATTTCGTTACACTTGATTTTCGTCTTACTTTTGGCATGTAGAATTCATCGTGTAACAGTGTTCCACCTTTTTTTAGTACCTCCTATTTGCAGCTTTAGTACTCCTACACTAATTATCCGAGAATCCTCTTTTCAGAATGGAGTTGTATCCCCCTGAGTTTATATAATCACCGTTCTACAGTGTTTTCTTTGTATACAGGGTGTCTCAGCTAAATAAACAAAGATTTTGTTGAACGGAGTGACCTATTTTTTGTACCATAGATCGATGATGTATCAAATTCTGAGTAAAAATATGTCGACTTTCATACGCCCTAAACCTAATAGTTAATGAGATATTTATAAAATAATGTTTAATACGTACTTACTATCTGGAAGCTATAGGTACTCAAACTGATGCTCCTCAACTTCAATACAGCGATTTCAGTACAATAATTATTTTGTAAATATCTCGTTAACTATTAGGTTTAGGACGTGTGAAGGTCAACACATTTTTACTCAAAATTTGATACTATATCGATCTATGCTATAAAAAATAGTTGATTCCGTTAATAAAAAATCAAGGTGACCTTGAAATTTCTGAAATGCCTCCATCCACACAAAAAGCACGTACCTTATAAGATGTGCCCCTTAGTGCCATTGAAGTTCTACGCCTCAAATTTTCACCCTGCACATACTTCGTACCCTTTTGTTAAATCAACATTTTTTTATACATTTCAGAGGGGAACATCTCAGCACAATGTACACACACGCACTTTGGGCAACGATGGCCCGAAGGGCTCATCTCCAGGACACAAAATACTTTTCCTGCTATTGTAAACGGTGCTCGGATCCAACGGAACTGGACACGCATCTTGGCACCTTAATATGTCCCCAGGACCAAGGTTACATTTTACCTGCGGACCCGCTGGATTTCGAATCCGAATGGAAATGTGAGATCTGTCCCGGAACCCTAACAGCTGCGGAAGTGAGAGAATTCACTGGAAAATTGGAGGATGACGTTGATGAAATGATGTGTCGAGCGAAAAAAGACACGCTGCTCGATCTTCTCTCACGGTAAAATTTCTTTTCGGTTTTTGCTTTTTTTTTTTCAGTGTGCGCGTGTAACATTTGGTTCGCGAGCGGAGAAACAATCCAAGGTCAATGCATATATGAATACTTATCTTTTTATCGGCTACAATACTATGGCGTTGAAAATGTAAAATTTCACTTAAAAACATTAAGGTGATCTTGAAATGTCAGATAATATGCCATTGAAGTTAAATTGAAATTTTAGTTATATTCAGACGCAAATCGCTCGAGATTAAAAATAATCGAAGTGTGTGGTTATTAAGGTCGTTGAATTTTGGTTATGCTCTATAAGGATATCGAAAAAAAGTACAGGATTCTATTTTAAAAAAATACCGATGACTTCAAAATCTTGCAAAAAAATGACCTTGAGAAAAGATTCTTTTCACCTTTAAATGTGCCCCTTGAAATAGTTTTAGTTTTAATTTTGCTAAGACATGTTTTTTCATACAATTGTAAAGAAAGCAGATATTTAGGTGATCCCATTTAACTGAGAAACCCTGTATACAGGGCTTTTGGTTACTTGGTATCAGAAACTTTAAAAGACGATTATACATGTCAAAATAAAAGGAAAATTAAGAATGATGATATCGCGTTGAAAGCTTCGTTTTCGTGTTATTAACAATTAGAACTTCGGGTCAGAAACGCCTGAAATAAGGCAATCTACGTGTAAGTAGTAAATGTGGTGTACGACAGTGCCGGCACGTGAACTGACGTCATCTCAAAAAAATTCACCTCACCTCGTAGCCGAAAAAGTGATTCATAAATCCCGCACTCGAGTCTAGACCATCTTCTTGCAACACTTCACAAAAAAACACACGAATCGTAGCACGACATGACACCTGGTTACTCGTTAAAATCCACAAAGGCGACTACAGTACACACAGACACGGAATAAACACTTAATATAATAATTTAAACTAAACTGAAGCTCACTGCAATAAATTAAATTAATATTACAAAAAAAAAAGAAGGTGTTCTTCTTCGAGATCTATTACGCGTCGATTAGATGTGTTTGCGTTGACGGCTGTCACCAAAGTAAGGAAACGTTAACTGGAATCCCATGCAAAGGATAGAAAGGTAATAAAAATGTGTAAACACCGAGCGGAAATAGTACAACAAAAGAGGTAGTAATAACGACACCTTAAGCGAAGACCGAATGATCGAGCGATAGAAAACAGCGGGAGGTATGACAGTTAGATATCCTGTTCTTTCTTGGAAGGTCGTGTTGTTTTTTAGGGGACGACGACCGCGTACACGTCGTGATTGTCGTGATCTACGTTTACCATTTGTACACAGATTGCCTGGTTTCAGGCGTCTCTGACTCCAATTTTTGATTATTGTTAATAACTTCAAGACGAAGCCTCCAACAGAATTTCATTACTCTTAATTTTCATTTTATTTTTACATGCAGACTGTTAATGTTTCTTCCACCAGAATATATAGTGGGTAAAACAAGTACTTGCAGACCCTTCAAAATAGAACAACTTTTTCAAAATTTGACCGAGTTATTTGAGTTTTTTTATGAAGTTAGAAAGATTGATTTATTAAATGACGTGTTAGAAAAATTTTGAAAAAAGCGTGATTGGTTAACAGTAAAGGTCACCTTTTACAACTTTTTATGTAAGACTGTAATGAAAATTTAAAAAATAAGTCTCTTAGATTTATGTTAGTTATATAGATGATGAAAATTTCATCAAAATCGGTTAATGTTACTATGAGATTCAAGCGGTTAAAAATGTTGAAAATCGTACTTTTTCGCGACTTTTGGCCTGCAACTGTAATACTTATATCTAAAAATTCTTACATCTTTCGATGCCTGTCGTTTGTTTCTGTATCAACCGATTTGAATAAAAGTTTGAGCATGTATATAACTAACATAAATCTTCGAGATGTATTTAATAAATTTTCATTACAGTCTCAGATAAAAGAGTTGCAAAAACCGACCTTTACTATTTTCTTCGCGATTTCGACTGATTGCAACTTTTTCAAAATTTGTTTGACACATCATTTAGTAAACTAATCCTTTTAACTTCACAAAAAAATTCAAGTCTCTTGGTCTAATTGTAACAAAGTTGTTTTCTTTTGAAGGGTGTGCGAATACTTTTTTTTACCCACTGTACGTATAAATACAGATGTATGTTCGATACAGATTGTATCGAAAAAATCAGGCAAAAATTTGTATACAAAACATATGTTCCAAAACGCATCTTGATCGAGATACAATTCAGTTTAGCTTTAACACATTTTGTCTATTTTCTTATTGATTCCAATAGAAAATGAAGAACTGTTCCGCCATCGTATTATTGACACTTCTAGAAAATATTCGTGTTAATCCCAATTTCAAAGTGGCGAAGTGGTTTATAATTCGGTCAATTTTAACTATTTTCACTTAACAAAAATGGTCCATATTTTTAAAAGATATGTAAATATGTGTGAAAAAAGTCGATACCACAAAGTGTTAGGGTTTCATTGTAAAAAAAAGTCCTGCGAAAAAAACTTTAAAAATGACACTTCAGATTGGAGTACCACTTTAAACGGCCAGGGATTAGTAAAAGGGGGGTGTGAATAATTGTTTATTTAATATTCCAGACTCACCACATTATTGCATCCCGGTCATCAGCTTTGCATCACCGTCAGCCATTCACTGATTCAATTGTTAGCTCGTAGCGATCCGAAGAAACGCGAACTGTGCAAACGTATTATAGAAACTACGAAAATATTGGATCCGTACGGTATAAGGTTGTCGTTATATACAGCGGTCACCTTGCGCGAGCTATCCAATTGCCCCGGAGAAGATAGACAGAGCCTTTTGTGTGACGCGATTTCCCTGCTACAATCGGAACCACCGAACTCACCTGGTGAAAAGCTTCGAATTTTAATGCAAGTCGAATTATAGTTAGGCAAGATCTTTAATCGAACTAAGATCCACCTAAATCGATCCACACTTTGATCAATGAATCACAAGCTTCTTGATTCGAATGTTCAACGACTTTAAGCTGGCTGAAATGAAACGCGGGGAAAAATTATATTGGTTATGTAACGATCTAATAAATTTGTATGGATTAATTTACATACACTCGAATCGAATGGGAATTTCTCGACGATAATATAGGAAATTGTTTTCAACATAAAAGATCTATAACACATTAAATATCATAAAATTTCCTATACTGAGTTGTAGATGACAACATAATTTGCATGCTTACAACTTATTGCATTTCATTTTATATTACATTTACGAACGCTACTTACATTAAAACCATCATTTTCATTATACGAGCTTATAGTATACGATATATGTATTGCATAATGTGAGATTCAAATAAATTTCCTTCTGTGTTAATGGATGAGATATAAAAATTGTGTTCGCGATTGTTCGTAACTATACAATACACATAAAATGTTGTGGAAAAATATCAGGTCACAACATTATTTTGTAATAATATTTGAATATAAAGTTGTACGAGAAACTTTTTGTTGCGAGAATGCTTGAAATTATAATAACATTTGGACAGTGTATCATGAAATGAAATAGTGCGGTTCTTTTCATATGTGCTTCAGAACATTTCACTTTATTCATTTTATAATTATTTTTGTTAATATTAATGACCGATAATTTGAATGAAAAAAAATATACATGTATAGAGAACAGCATAAGCAGTTGAACGATAGTATAGTGAAATATTCACCATTCATATAAAAATTGTACAAAGTACTATGCTAGAAAAACGTTAAAGAACATAGTACATGTATTAACAGATCTGTTTAAAACAATCATGTTCGGAAACTGTAAAATAATTAATGACAACAGCTTCGTTCATTTTCATGTTACAGTTTACATCTTGTATAACAATATAGTATTAAAATTACGGTGTATTCACATCGTGAATGCGTAACTAGCACTTCGGTGATACACGATTGTTCTTTTTTTTTTTTTGTAAACGACGAACAAAGAAGTCGCACGATTACTTTTTCCCTGTCGATATTTACAGATGTTCACGGAAGTCGATTCGTTTTTCGTCGAGATGTTCGTTTTTTTTTTCATTTTTACAATTATATAAAAACAAGCGTGTCTTAAATTAAGAAAGAAATGAAAATTCCAGGTAAATCTTCCCGAATCATGATCGCTTGAAAATCTAGACTAGATTTAGTCTCGAAACAGACTAACGAATTCTCATATTAAGAGGGTACACTTTAACCCTTTGCACTCCAAGGTTCTTTTATTATAAACGGCTAGAAACCTAAAAATATGTTTGTAGTGTCAGTACTCAAACGCCTAAGTGTTGCTTTCTTAATAATGATTACTAAGATATACAAAATTTTAATTTTATTCGTTAGTTTAGTTTACATTGTAATAAACACAACTTACTTGTATATTATGGTGCCGTCACAGCAGTGCCAGTGAAGTGCAGAGGGTTAATAGGAAAGACGATATTAATAATAATCAGTTTGCGTTTCCGAGAAACTAAAAGATGTTAATTATTTCGTCAAGTAGATTTAATGAATAAAGCGTTGACGGAACAATGGTGGTTGTTAACGATGAAGGAATACTACTTAAAGTATATTAAAAGTTTACAAAAATGTTCATCGCTACAACTCGAAAGCATTCGCGCCTCAACACTTTGAGCATCGATATCGCCCATCGATATTTTTACCAATTTGGAATTAAAGGTTATCTGTATAGTAGCAAGTAATATTGCATATCAATATCCAGAAATGACAGTACTGTTAAAATATTTCATGTTCAAGTAAGTCTAGTAAAATATTTGTCCTCTTTGTTTCTCTTTGTTTAATACAGTTTTTACAGTAACATTCATTAATTTCAAGCCTCATCGTCGTTTAATTTAAATGCAAAGCGGAGAAATAATAAAATGCAAGAAGATTTGTACTATCTATGGTGAAGATGATATTGAGATTCGGAAGACTGAAACACAATTTGTTGTTCCGATATTTTTGGACGAGAAAAAAGAATTAATATTTTTTACCAGAAAAAATGTCAAATTACGGACATCTTCGGTCTTTGAGAAACGTGATTCATGTGTAGTTGAGACGTTAATAGGGTACTACGTATTCGTCGGATAATCACAATTGTAATTACGTCAAAGTAATAAAGAAAACCAATGTTTGTAAGTTCGAACGGCATCCAAATACATTTGGACGCCATTTTGAAAGATAACGGGGTAGAGATATTATGGCTGTCAGTTAATATTTCCCGAATACTATTTTTAAAGGAAGATTCTCGGGACGAATAGCTTTTTGTTCTTTGTGTAATACAAATTATCGGTATTTATATAATAACTTAATATATGATTTTTTCTTAACCCTGTTACAGGGTTTAGTTTAACTATATTATATTTAACACACTCCTAAGTAACATGAAGTTCACACATTGCTAATCATTTTTTATAATTATGTTCGAATTTCGAAAATTTTTTCAAAGCATGACACTCGGGATAGTGACCTTGACAACATATATCAAGACTACTAAAGTACGAAACGAAACTTTTGTTGCAAATAACTTTTCAAGAAAAAAAAAACGAACGACGACTAAAACTTCTTGGAGGTTACTCAGAAGAGTGTCCTCAACAACATGTGTCAAGGTCAGAGTCATCGGAGCTGCATCCCCTAAACGTAACTCTTACCGAAATTTGTGCGGAGCTTACGGCTGCCGAACTGTTACGGCTTAACATTGGTTGTTTTCCATTTGTCTCGTGTGAATTATTACGAAATCAATGTAGACAGGTACGTCGGGTGCGTACACCTAACAACGGATAGGATAACGATTGGCCCTTCAGTTGTGCCGTGATCTGCAGCAGATAAGCCTTTCCCGGCTGCAATCGTTTCAGCGTGAAAGGAAGTGCGCGATCTTTCGGTGGGCTTGACTTCTCTTCGCAGACTTCAAAGGTGTACTCGGAACGCCGGCGACGATGAAGACCGCACTGGTCTGGTATCGTCGTCACGCTGGCCAACGAGGAGGCGCTTCTCAGTTCACGGACTAAGATACAATACTTCGCTGCACCTGCCGATTCCACCCCTATGGTCACCTCGTGGCAGGTCCTAAGGGATCTGTACTCCCGTGGTGTACTTCTGGACGGTATCTAAATACAAGATTGAAGTTCTCCAATTTTTCTTCGTATATCAATTCCTCGACGAGTTTTGGAAGGCTCCCTCGGCAGTGACAAGAAGTGGTCCCTAGGTGTAACGCTGATTTTTTAATGTGGTTTAGCAGAGTGATAGAGCTTGGAATTCGGAAGCCAATGATATTTGTTTCAACCGCATATGGCCATTAGTTTATGAAATATTTCATGTTCAGTGTCGAGGAGCCTTCGAACACTCATCTAGGATTTACTGTATAGAAAATTGGGTCTCAGGGATTTGTACTCGCGAGATACACTTCTGGATCGTATTTAAAGAAAAGATCGTGGTTCTCTAATTTTTCCTCGTATGGATAATGGGATCTCAGTATCTAAATACAAAATCAAGATTTTCTAACATTCCTTCCTATTGGTAATGGAATCTTAGGGATTTTTACACCCGGGATACACTTCTAGATCGTATTTAAATGTACAAGATATAGGCTTTATAACGTTTCCTCACATAGATAATGGGATTTCAAGGATTTATACTCGTGAGACGTACTTCTGGACCGTATTTAAATTCAGGATCGTGGTTCTCTAACATTTCTTTTTATAGATAATGGGATCCTAGGGATCTGAACTCGTGAGATGTATTTCTGGACGATATCTAAATTAAAGATTGAGGTTTTCTAACATTTCTTCACGTAGATAGTGGAATTTCAAGGATCTGCACTCGTAAGGTATACTTCTGGATGGTATGTAAATACAAGGGTGAGATGTTCTACTATTAGGTTGCTGCATAAATTCTATCACTTTTATCAAAAATAAAAGGGCAGATTCCAAAGCACACTGAGAAATTCACAAATATAGCGTGTGTACTTATTGTTTTTAATAAAATTGAATGTATTCTCAAAACGGTCAGAATTTTTGCAGCTACTTAATATTTATGTTTCTCCTTGTTTGTTAAAGGTATTGTGTAGTATAAATAATATTATACTAAGCATTAAACGCATGCCTAATTCTTGGATAGTTATTTTAGCTCTCATAGCGAAACAATTACCAGTAAAATAGTCGTTTATGATATTAAACAAGGAAAGTTCAGACAATGTACCAAATTTTGAAGGAGATCTTTGTGTTAATTATTATTCTCCTTATTAATATTTCGATATAGAATTCTACGTTTTCAAGGCATCAATTCTGCGTTCTCTTCGTATCGAAGATTGTTTACCCAGTAATTGTTTTTACGCATTTAATGTAATACAAACAAAATAAATCTGCACGAACGTACCTGTGGAAATATCGTCGACGATTCTTGAGTGGCCAATACCTTTATAGCAAGCACTCTTGCTAACTCCTGCGGTGTAGCGGATATCCGTAATGTGTAAGACTTTCCTGAAGTTAAAGGTGGCACCCTTAATGATGCATATCCTACTACTTCCTTTTCCTACAAATGTGGATTATTTATAATATTGACACACACGCACAAAGAATATCTCATTTCACAAGAAACTGTGCTGAATTAAAAAACGATTTGGTAATTATTGAAAACATGGTCCTGAGTACCGATTTCAATGACCTTGAAATATGTTATCAAGGTCATTATTCCTAACAACTATTCCCTATACATATAATAAGCGGTCTCTCTTAGTTTCCGAGATATTCGCGAAAAACTCTTCTTACGAGTCATTGAATTTTGTCTATACCTGCACGTTCACGGCAATGTGTGTATCAGCTTGGGGTGATCGCTTATCTACTGTTTCTATAAATACATCACAACAGTCGGGACAAACAAAGGATGAACTTAAAAACCACGCTTCACCGATTTCAGTGATTTTTAATCCTTAAATCAGTATAATGCTTTGAACTGTATATTTTTTATTGTTTCAATTTTTCAGGAATATCTCGGTAGACACAATGCAGTATTACTGATTTGAGTAGATTAGCATTATACATATATTTCAAGGCCATTGAAATCGGTGCTGTGGACCATGTTCTCAGTAATTACCAAAGATTTTCCTGTTAAAAGCAATTTCTTAATACTGGTCAATGACCACGGTGGTATACATATATCATTGAACCAGGTTAAACGAAAGACTTATAACTTATAATATACTGTTACTCACAGAAGTATTCCCTCATTTCATACGTATAACATATTTCATGTTATGGGTGTTCATAAAAATATGAGACACTTCACGCGTATTTTGTTCGTATTTTCAACAATTAATAATTCAGAAACGAAACCTCGAATGCAATTTCGTCATTATTGTTTTTCGTTTTAGTTTGTCATGTATTATAGAATCTATTCTGTGAAAGAGTCCCACATTTTTATTAACACCCTGTATACGGTATTTCAGAATGCGTGGATATAAATAAAAAAGAGAGATTCTATGTGAACAAATAAATCGAAAATCATTTAAAATTAGAATAAAATTAGTTCGTATGATTTGTTATTGTGAAAATCGAATTTGCAGATTCATCTGACGCGCATGTATTCACGCTTACAGTAAGTAGAAACGCTAAGTAAAGGAAATACAGGTTAGCCATGTTGTATTCCATTACACGTGATAAAACGGCTCGAAGGAGCGTAAATTTTTTAACGATAAATGAACAACTTTATCAATACAATGAATTAAACTCTAACTCATTGACAAACTTTAACGATCATATACAGAATTTATCATATCATTTATATAAAAATGATACATACATTTGTCTTTATTGTATTTATTTTTTCCCCTGACACTATTCGATTAAAAATGAATTCAGAAGACTCAGATACAACATTTTCCCAATATTCGATTTGCTTTTACACGTAGAATCGTTTCTTCTCTGCTTGTGTCACGAATTTTGCCGTACTTATCCTATAGAATCGATTCTCCGAAACATTTTTCAAAACACTTCGTACATAATTTGGTTAATCTATATTACCAGTATCATTGAAGTTTATTAATCTGTTAAGAACATACAGTTTACGAAAAATTTAAATCACTAGAAAGCTTCATTAAATCGACTATTCCTCAACTTCGATTTTTCATTTCACTTTAGTTATGTGTCACTAATTTATTTTGCAAACGATGAAATTCTTTTGTTCTATTCGAAATTCTGGATTGATATGTATAGTAAATGCGTTACTTCCGTTTACTAATCTGGTTAGTAAATGTATTCACAAGGAATGAAATTTATACTTTTACTAATAAATGCATACATTTACATTTCTCACTTAGGAAAACTATTACTAGCATTTGTTCATATGAATCATATAACCTATTACTTTTAATTTCACGGGTACAAATCATTTAAGTTATACAATATTATTAAAATGAATAATAACAATATAAAAGAAAATTTGCTGTTAATTTATGTAACTGAAGTATTTATTTTACATTATAATTGTTTCTTTTTATGTGTATTAAAAAAAAATATATTTTCTTAACAACGATAGTTACTTCATATCACCCAGAAATGGAAAAATTTATTATCTAGACAAAAAGTTTCGAATAGCGAATAAAAGATAGAAAAAGGTGTTCCGCCAAATGTCATTGATTAAACGTGGAAATTTTAATTTTCCTAATGAAATAATAGTTCATGAACGTGAAGAAATTTGGTGAACAATTATTTAATCTCATTAATTGTTTAAAGATCAGAATGAAGCTCTTAGATACTTATGCTTTTCACTATGTATTATTCGAATAAAATTCTGTCAAAGTCTGGTATCACCGTGTACAAGATCATTTTTTAACGTTTTTCTTTGGTTTCTATTGGCGGATCTAACACAAATACAGTAATAGTTACAAAAGTGTTTGATTACCCTTAAAATTCCCGGGGCGGTCAATTTCGCTTTGACGATGCCACCGCCACAGGGAAGAATGTGAAAGGTACTCGAGGTATTTTCCGGCGGACGGTATCGGAAGTTAACGAACCCGTCGGTTTTACGCAAACTGGCGGTAGTATAACTCCCAGTGCGTAAAATTAACTCTGGTGTTTTTCGAAATCTTACGGCGTCGGTGGTTACACGATTGGAAACGTTGTTTCGTGTATTTATCTGAAACAACACAGAAATGATTACGTTAACTTGGAGTGAACTTCGAACTAACTTCATTTTGATTCAACGATTTTTTCCTCGAAAACTTTACTTCGGAATTCAGTGGAACGAAAAAAGCATGAAAAACGGAAAACCTGTTGAATAAATAGTGGCGAAGAAAAAATTATTTGTTAAGTAAAATTTCTCAAATTAAGTAACTTACTTATTTTTCCTTCTTTCGAATTAGGTACAGACGAATATCTGGGTGAAAGTTGAACTTCGCGGGTGTTACAATTTTTTTTTTTGTCATGAATCATAAACATCATCCAAAGAATAATATTCAAATAACTTTTTATAATATTTCAAATGGATCGTTACATATGAAAAGTCAGATTTTTTAATAATATTTTATATTTTATTCAATTTCAAAGAATTTCATTTGGTATGGCGTGACTACTTACGTTCCACAAAGAAATACATTGTTAAAAGTATACATAACACTGTATTATCAATGGAACTATTATTAAAAAAAAAGTACAGACCAAACTCTAATTGGAGACACAAATGGTGGCTACCGTTAATAATTTTTACTCATAAAAATGTGACCAAATATATCGATCAATAAAATTGACATTTCACATGTGATGTCTTAAATAGATCAATGTGTTCGGGTAAATGGAGTTTCACTATTACTTTATAAATAGACTGTAGATTTTATACATTTATAGCATACAGGAATATTTCAAACACAGTCTAGTAAAAAATTGAACCCCTTTCGTGTGTAGCCTGTGACTGTGACGGACTGACATGACGCACGCACCATTGACCAGCTCCTGTCAGTCACGGTCTGATTTGTGTTTGCTGAACACAGCATTGACGTATGGGCATATAACTTGGTAGATGTAGTACACCTTGTATCAGGGACTTCTACCGAAACGTAAAATACGTATTATACCGGTATTTTCGGTTGTACCTTCGCCCTATACATATAACCCTATACAGGGTGTAACAAAAATGTTATCCGACACCGAAATGGGTCACTCAGGGGTTGAATTGGAACAAGTTTTTCCTTAGCAACAATGTAATCTGAGGCTTTGTTACTGAGATATTAACGAAAAACCTCGACCAATCAGAGCGCGAGTTTACCAGCCGAGTTCCCGCGGTAACGCTGCCTACCAGTCGCAGTGCGTAGCCACCGCTAGCGCGGGAACTCGGCTGGCAAACTTGCGCTCCGATTAGTCGCGGTTCTTCGTTAATATCTCGGTAACGAAGCCTGAGATTACATTGTTGCTAAGGAAAAACTTGTTTCAATTCACCTCCTGAGTACCCCATTTTCGGGTCGGACAACATTCTTGTTACACCCTGTATAAGCCCTACTCTTGTAGAAACCGAAAAAATACCGGTATTTATTTTCGTTTTCGGTGATATATCAGTTTCGGAATAGCTTTGATAGCATAATACCGGTATCAAAATCATAAAGGTTTAAGTCCTTGCATTGTATTCCCTGTATTTGTAGTTATCACAAGAATGTATACATCATTACTATGTATCCTTTACTCCGAAGCATTTGTAAAGATGTAGCAATCGAATACTATGTACATAATTCTGCTTTTTGTCCATTTTCTTTTTCAACAATAAATTATGATTTACTTGTCACTATTGTTTCTTTCACCTTAGAACCAACTACCCAACTAATTTACGAAATAAACGAAAGATAGGTATATTTTGGACGATCTTTCAAATGTTATTGCTCATGAAAGGGTCAATATATCTTAATATGGTTTTTATTAATACTAAATCATCGATGAGTGTTCGCAGACTCTTCGACACTGACATGGAGAGGTCCCCAGGTGTAACGCTAATTTTTAAAACAGTCATAGAGCTTGGAATTCCGATGCCAATGACATTTATTTCAGCCGCATACGGCCATTAGTTTATGAAATATTTAATGTTCAGTGCCCAGGAGCCATCGAAGACTCATCGATGATTTACTGTAATATGGAACTCGACGTAACCGTTAAACCGGACAAACAAGCTTTCGCTTGACTCTGGTTTCTATAAGTTAAATCACAGAATTCTAATATTTCCATGAAGATCCACAGTCTATTTGTAAACAATATTGTACCGTTCGTTGGTTTTCTGAGATTTCTGACCGGAGTTTCGCGGATCCTGATTACTAACCACGTATAACGTGAAGTTGTACGTGGTGTCGTACTTCATCCTGTGCAGCGTCAATTTCGTTTGACGCACGCAGTGAAGTCCTTCCGGAACACCACGATGTTGTTGCTCCTTGGAGGAGGAACTCCCTTTCGTCGGGTGCGCGTCAACGTGCAGAACGTTCTGTGCCGCGCAAAGGGTCAACGGATGAGGTTGCGACCCCGATGTTACGGCTAAGCAGTACCGCGACAGGTGAGGGTCTATGCTGCTGTAAAAATAGACGGATCCTTTTCGTTCTTTGTTTTCTTTGCAATTTAACAGAAGGCGAACGTATTATTTCTTTCAATTTCAAATAAAAAGTAATCGATAAGTATTAAATATGTGTGGGGGGCTCACTAGTATTGAGCCTAAACTCGTTAAAAAACTAAACTCGTTCAAGTCACTTGGTCCAATTTTGAAAAAGTTGTTCTGTTTTAAAAGGTATGCGAATACTTTTTTTACCCATTGTATATGTTATATCTTGTGATTTTGAAGTTAAAAACATCGATATTAAGCAGACCCAATTTTTTTTATTTTTTTCTGTTTTTATTTATTTTTAGCGAGAGTATTTCACATCAGTAAAACCACACATCCGTGCTGGCAAAAGTTAGATATTAACTGGTGACAGAATTTGACGCACTTTTAAAATGAGTGTTATTTGGATAAAAATCTACGTCCAGTCTAATAATAAGTATAATAACATTTGCGTAATAAGTAACAAGTAGGCAACGTGTTTGCTATTTGATTTGTCACCGAATAAGATATTTAAAAGAAAAAAGGAATTCCCATATTTGCTCGTGTCTTCATGAATTACTTTAGAAAATGTTATTTTGCATAAAAATCCGCAGTCTAGTAATAAGATTTCCACCTCACCAGTTAAGAGTTAGACAATATTACCATAGTGAATGTTAAACACATTGTACCTTTTGTTCCAGGACACCGTGAGTCGACGTTTGCTCCTTCGCTGTTGGAATCTCAATGAACGATGACGACTTTTCCTCTCGTTTGTTTGCCACTCCGGAATATGATCCAGACCGCTGGATGTGGCATACAGCAGCACCGTGCTCGGTGTAAGTTTTTGGAAACTGGCGTCAAGAGGTTCTACGGATTTGATCTCGAACCAATACAGACCGGCTCGTGTCTTGGATATCGTGAAGTTTTGATCCTCCGCGCCCTGGTACGTGAAAAGGGGGGAGCCTGGCTTCAGAGTCTTCACTGGCCATCGTGTTTGCGCTGTCCCATCGATCACAATGACTTTATTCGTTTGTACGACACCTTTAGCTGGATCAAGTACAGTCCTCGGCCAAGACATAGATAGTCGTAGATTCGGTCAAGCGGAACAGAACACGCGTTTCGCGTGTTAGAACAGTCATTTAAGAGAACAAACAGGAGATAAGGCGCTCCAGCGTCGTTCAATCCCTATAATGTTACTTCAGATCCAGTATATAGTACACTACCGGCCAAAAGTATGGGACCAGGTCTGATAACACTATTCAACAGCCAACTGGACTTGTAACGTTCAACAGTCGTTTTTTATAGATTGTTGTGCCTTGAATACGAATCTGCAAACGGCTTTTCGCCAGCATCCTCAGTTATCGAGAAAATTGATTTGGAAAAAAAAATGCAAATTTTCAACTTTGAACATTTCCTATCTTTAAACAGTAATAGTTACTCGGGTGCTTATTGCGTCAAATTATTCTATAAACTCTTCTGAACAAAATGGTATGTGTTATTATACGTTGTTATTGCATTATGAATATTTAAGCATGTTTAAATAACAGTCAATATTTACAGATATTTTTCCAAAGGAAAATAAATTTAAAAATATCTACAAAAATTGGCGCATTTCGGGTATCCTGTTCCCTTTGATCGTTGTTTAAACATGTTTAAATATTCATAATGACATAATAACATACACCATTTCCTTCGGGAGAGTTTATAGAATAATTTGACATTGCATTTAAAATTTTTGGAAAATTTGCATTTAAAAAAAAAATCAAATTTCTCAAAAACTGAGGGTGCTGGCGAAAATCCGTGTGCAGATTCGTATTCAGGGGACTAAAATCTATTAGGTAAGAAGCGTCTATTGTATATTACAAGTCCAAAAAGAAGTTAAAATTTATTAAACAGTGTAATTAAAGGAAGAGAAAAATATTACTCTACAAAGATGTGATAAAAGTAACGTGTTAAAACTGATTGGCAATGATTAGTATATGTACTGATTCCGTAACTTTTGTTACATCGTAACAGAATAATGAGTTAATGTGGCATCAATCATGAACTCTGGTCTCATACTTTTGGCTGGTAGTTTACTTCTGACCTTTATATCGTTGGTAACAGCCAACAAAGACCTAAAGTTCTTCTAAATCTTCTAAATATTAAACACGATTTACAATTACGCTCGTAGTAGATGTACCACAGTTATTCGATAGCGGTTTCATTTTTATTGCAAGGAACTCTACAACTGTAAGTCGTATACGGCCCTGTTTACGGCGACATCTATAGGTGTCGTTGTTCAACGCGATAATTGATGACCGCGCTATATCTTGACGAGGACTATACCTTCGATAATGTAACCCTCGGAAAAACGGATGGTCAGGGACGAACACATTTTGACCCGTAGTAGAATATCCATGGTATGTAAGTTTCAAGAAGGAATTATGCGTAAAATGTTGGTCTACATTTTCAAATTCATAGACTACATTTGTATGCAGGGTGGACAACATAACTCGATCACCATAATAATTTTCGTTACCAATACAAATTGTTCTCTCTTTTTAGATGTCTTGTTAGATATCACATTATCTATCGTGAATGAAATCGGGAATTGTGCAAATCTTGTGGCGACAGTTTCGTGACGATTTCTCAGTACAAGATTACCTTAAGGTCATAGTATACTAGGTCATAACATTCGTCTCGACTTCGCCTACAATGCTACGCAGTTAAAAATACATATCGCCGTTTAAAAGAAGTCAAGGTGACCTTAACTTTTCATTAATCTAAAACTTTTTCTGAATTCGTAGTATTGCAATTTGTAACTGATATAAAGCTGATAAACTTTCGTTCGAAATATTTTTTTATCCGACCATCGGAAGTGCCTGAAAAATTGTGGGGTCTGATTGTTAGACCACCCTGTATACATATAACAAGTTCGGCAAGCATGGGCGTAGCCAAGGGAGGGGGGTGGGAGGGGGGGGGGCACTTGCCCCCCCCCCCCTTTGGATGGAAAAAGTGGCTTTTGCCCCACCCTACAAGGCAAAAATTGGATTTTTCACCCCTCCTCCCTTCCCAGAGTTATACAATTTTTGCGTAATATTTAATATTGCAGTATAATTTGAAACACGACTAACAGTCTCTGTTAACAAGATGCATACATGTTCAACGATTTATGACTTTGTAAAAAAAATGCTATGTGTGTCTGGCTACGTACAGCTTTTTCACTGTGGCAATCGATGTGTTAATATTTTTGTCCCCCCCCCCCCCCCCCCGCGCCCGACTAATAACCTGGCTACGCCCATGTCGGCAAGTACTGCAACATACATGCGTTTTGTCATTAGAACAGAGTAAAAGGTGGAGAAATGTATTTTTAGAAGAGTCCTGCACTGCCCATACACAAGCATGGAGTTGTTATTTTATTCGAAAGGTCAGACCAAATTTGATCAAACAACAACGTCGTGTTTGCGCATGGTAGTACAGAATTCCTCTTAAAATACATTTTTCCATCATTTATTCTGTTTTAACGACAAAAAAAATGATATTGCGATGCTTATCGAATTAGTTCATCTGTCTGCTGAAAGATAGGCGGAAAAAATTGTAGGAGTTCGTTTACAAAACTAAACAATAGAGTTAGCTGTACTCAAGTAAAATACTAATATAAAAGTATAAATTCTTGTTTATTCGAAAAAATAATAATTGAAAGGTGAAATAGTGATTGGAAGAAGTATTCAGTTATCTTTACACGTCGAAGAAAATTCTAAACCGCACTTATCATCTCTTTTATTCGGGAAACGAAAGGTTTCCGTAACATGTACTTGCTGTATCAGGTTCGCTAATATGAAAATATTTTATGAATAACATTTAAATTAATTATGCTTACATTTCGCTCCTTCCGATTCTTCAGTGTTTTCAGGTGGTTCGACGTAACTCACCGTCCATGATATTGGCCCGCTACAAGGGCTAACGAGTAACGTTAAGGGTGGACCTCCGCGTGGACTCAGGTAATAGAACCTGTAACAATTTTATCTACATCCAGTATTATATTGATGCTCGATACATATTAAGTGTAACCAGACACGACCTGCTATACAGTTCAGAATCTTTAGGTATAGTTTGTACGTAAACTCGTATAAAATATATGTATAAATTGATATGAATAAAATTATGTTTCTTTAAATGATCTTATATAAACAGCAGACTTTAACGATTCAAAACTTCGGTCGATAATAAAAACAAATTCTTTTATTTGTAAAGTAAGTTTCTAAAATTACTCGAACTGTAACGAAATTATGAATGAAAGATATAAAGCTTTCACGATCCAGTGAAACGACGATCCATTGACATGGATCGCAGTGTCGTATTTGGTGATGCTGTGTCAGTAATGAACTTGTCTGAATTTACAAAATTTCAATTTAAAAATTTGGATTTTTGTAAAATCCATGCTCATTTATTGGAAGTTTCGAAAATGAAATGCAAGGTGAAAACGAGTAAAAGTCGCTTCGATGGGCGTAACTTTTGTGTAACTGTAACTGTATACAGGGTGTGATTGGAACGGTGGTGCAACCGGGCAGGGGATAATTTTACATGCAAAAATAAGTCACAAATGAGACTTAGAATTTTTTCAGGCGATGCTTTCTTCTCGAGATAATCGAATTCGAAAGTTTGTTGAATATACATATAGGCAATAGAATAGAATTTCGCTAACACGTCTGTTCATTGCAGGCGGCTTCTACTTATTGTCAACATCAAATACAGGTGATTTCGATGAATTTTCAATCCTATGTTATTCTTTTCTTCCTACTTATTGTTGTATGTAGAATCGCTATCTAGCTGGCTGTACCACCCATCCGGTCACACCCTGTATATATGTATACAAATATAAAGTGTTCTTCCAATACGTACTTATTTTTCAATCGTTATTATACATAAGTATATACATTCACTCTCTCGAAAAGTACAGAATAAAAGTATAAAAATAATGAAAAATTGACGAATGAGAATTTCATTTCAACTTCTAAATCATTATCCACAACTTTTCATGAATCCATATGTTAGGTATTCCTATACACGAAGAATGAATCCAATGAGGTTTCTCTAAAACCGGACATACAGCGACTCATGAATCTGTTCACGGAAGGCGGTCGCAATTATTCGACCAAATTACTTACTAAACTGCGAATTTTATTTTTGTATTGAGGATACAAAAATATGAATTGTATACAAATTTGTACACTTATTAACCCTTTCATTTTCAAATTATTTAACAATTACAAGAATTTGTTTTTCTATGTTTGTCTACATCACATTATGTATAAATTATTTACAAGAACATTTTAAAATTTTTAAAGTGTTCAATGCCATTTTTCATTCGTTACCATATGGCAAACTATTTACTTTCATCGCAGGTATGTATAATAATTTGACTTATACAGTTACTATATACAATAAAATCTATTTTCTTACCTTTGATTAGTAAAAACCCTTGAAATATGTGAAAGAAGTTATGACTTTACAAATTTTTGTTGTATTGCTAACAATGCTCAACACTTGAATTCCAGAAAATGAGAGACACAAAGGATGATAATGTCCCGTTCTACCAATAAGCTCTTAAATATACATATAAGAGTGTCTCAGCTAACTCGATCACCTCGAACAATGACTTAACGGTACACTTTATGAAAATTTTGAGGAGTGGAACTTAAATGGCATCAAGGGGCACATCTTATAAGGTACGTGCTTTTTTTGTGGGTGGAGACATTTCAGAGATTTCAAGGTCACTTTGATTTTTTTTAACGGAATGACCTATTTTATGTACTATAGATCGATAGAATATAAAATTCTGAGTAAAAATGCGTAGCCCTTCATACGTCATAAACATAATAGTTAACGAGATATTTACAAAACCATTACTGTATTGAAGTTGAGGGGCACAGTTCGAGCACCTATAGCTTCCAGATAGTAAATAAGTATTCAAAATTATTTTGTAAATATCTCGTTAACTATTAGGTCTCTGAGAGACATTTTTTTGTTTCTAACCTTTTCTGCACTTAATTTATATAATTTTGCAGAAGGCAGCTGACCGTTTCTGTTCCTTTTACGAATAATTGACATTCTGGAAGGAACATTAATCCCTTAATTATTAAAATAACATAGCCGGAAAACCAAGTTGCATGAAAGAATGCCGAAAGCTTAAATCGGGACATAACCAACAACTTGTTATGTATGTTCCTACTAGCGGTATTTCCCATAAATACGTTACAATATGCAAATCTTAATTACTTAATAAAACACAGAAACTTTCGAAAGATTTTACGGAATTGAAATAAGAACATACATAATTAAAAGAAATAATGCAAATTTGCTTCTGGTATATTATTTCAATAGGGTAGTCGTATTAGGAAAACCGCTTACTGCGACAATGGACGTGAAGGACAGATGAAATTTTTGTATAAAGATGGATAGAGAGGATTATTGATCAATTCACATTTGTTTTATAACAGTTACATTCGTCTCGCGTTACGTTTGTTCCAAGTCTCCCTTATACTTTTGACGAGTTATGACTTGAAAAACGAAATAAAGTGTGTCTAGTTACGTACAGCCATTTCCACTGTGGCAATCATGGTGTTAATCAGATCAAACTTTGCTCAACACCGATATACACCGATACATACCGATATTCCCGGGGTGATTTGAAATAACGTTTTCCTTAACAAAAAAGTTGTCCGAGGCTTTGTTAACGAGATATTAATGAAAAACCCCGACCAATCAGAGCGCGAGTTTGCCGGCTGAGCTCCCGCGGTATCGTGTAACCAACGTTACCGCAGGAGGTAAGCCGGCAGAGTCGCGCTCTCATTGGTCGAGGTTTTCCATTAATATCTCGTTAACAAATCCTCGGAGAACGTTTTCGTTAAGGAAAAAGTTGTTTCGAATCATCCCGAGAATCACCCATTTCAAGGACTTACACTTATTTTCGGATACCCTGTACACCTAAGTTCATCCGATCGACAGCTGCACACCGACGACGGTCCAAGTCCAGACACAGTCGCAGACCCGGCGTTTATATTTAGTCATAACACGCGATCGTGTCCGTGCAAAATTCCCCCTTTAAAGATCGTACCAAGTTAAGTTTACGCCTTGGCATAGCCGTCGCGCGGTTACGCTCTCTCTCTCTATCTTTCTCTATCTTCGTCTGATCCCCGTGTCCCCGTCGTTCGTCGTCGTCGTCGTCGCGGCTCCACGGTCCCTTTAGGCGGCGGGACGCCGCACGTGCCTTTCGCTCACACGGGGCTGCCACTGAAACCGGCTATTGTAAAATTAGCGTCTACACACAATGCCGGCGTCGCGGCGTCTGGGGTCGCGGCTGCGCGACCCCCATCGTCTAATTTTGGCGGCCGGTTTGTCCCGCGACAGAAACCGACTCTCTCGATTCTGTCATTCGGCCCGCGAGGTCGTTCCGCGGGGTTTCATGGAAATCTGTGCGGCGATACGGCGAGACGCTGGTCTACTCGCGGCCGTCACCCTTGGTCCAAACGCGAACCCTTTCTCGTCACGGGCGGATTTGCCCGCGAAACGTATTCCAGGATACACTGTCGTGTACACTCACGAGCAAACTCGGCTTGTACTAGGGGAAAAAGCAGCGTAGAGTAAAAATCTCCTACCGCTTGGTAAATTTATTCCAGATATTGAAATTAATATTAAATCGAATGTTAATTTGGCATAAATTTCAGTAATTCCAAATACCAACAGTTAGGAGCATGGTAAGAGGCCCTTCTCCTACGTCAACTTTTTCCCTAGCGGAAGCCGAGTTTGCTCGTGGGCGTATACTCACGAGCAAACTGGGCTTCCACTAGGGGAAAAAGTGACACAGGAAAAGTGTCTCCTACTGCATGCTATTGGGAATTATTGAAATTTATGCCAAATTAATTAAATTCGATTTAACATTCATTTCAGTACTTGAAATAAATTTATCAAGTGCTGGGAGGTCTTACCCCTTCGCCACTTTTTCCCCTAGCGGAAGCCGAGTTTGCTCGAGAGGGTACGTACTGAACTGCACGCTCGTGCGCTTCCGAGCGATAGAAAATCACTGCTAACGATAACGTTATCGATGACGTCGGAATATTATCGATAGTTGGATATATCGAAGTATTATTGATAATTCGATATATCGGCGAGGTTTAGCGGAACTCTATTTTCTACATAAAATTATTAATGGTCGAACAAATACTGCAAAGATCACGGTACTAATAAATTTTTATACTCTTGCGCGACCAGTTAGAGCTCCCTCACTTGGTAGATCTCCAGCATACAAATCCAGATTTAACCCTTTAGCTGTGAATGACGAGTGTACTCGCCATGTGAGAATAGTAATTACTCTTTGTAATTTAAATTGAAATTTTTGTGAAAACTGAAATACATTTGTAAATTTTAGACATTTCAGAATATTTTGAGACTACTTGACTAGACGAGTTCTTTTTACATGATTTTTCTAAATAATTTTTTTTTAATAAGATAATTATGAATGATTAGGTTTTGTAAATAATATAAGTACGTTTAAACGATAAAATTACTGATTTTTCAAAAAAACAAGTGCTGTTTTCTTATAATTTAATTCAATTTTACAGGAGCTGCATATACTCTGTGTTTGACGAATATACTCGTCATCGCGTCGTTCTAGCGACACAACGTAGATACACACTTTTAAAAAGCGGCAAAATAGAATTTGACAACTTCTTTACTCGGAATGCAACTGCATTTAAAACTAAACTCTACGTAGGACATACCACATTATAACTAATTATTCACATATATTTTTTACCACATGTAATTTTACAAGTCTATCACTTATGTAATACTTCTGTAATTTAATGGGCTTTTCTCCTGTGGATAAATAAACTATTATTATTATTATTATTATATCGGAATGTAATCGATAATTCAATTTATTGGGATGTTATCGATGATTGGATATATTGGAATGTTATCGATAATTTCATATATTGGATTGTTATCGA